TATTCTGCTTTGGGATCCAGCCTATACTCCTCCCCAGGCATGCAGAGGTGCTCACTTAAAGTGTCCTCTGGACACTTCTCCACGCAAACCCTGTGCAAGCCGTGAGCCCTCAAGTTCCAAGGAGGACCTAGAAAGGCCTGTTACAGTCAGAACATCTGGGAGTCTGGGATCTAGAAGGGACCTTAGAGACCACCAGCCCATTGAATCTTAGCCTTTCCTGTTTTCTAGCCAAGGTCCCTGAAATTTGAAGAAGCCAGGTAACCTGTTGAAAGAGACACTGCTAGTAAGTGGCAGAGCTGAGGTTTGAACCAAGATCTGCTCCTTTCTAGTACTTGTTATCTTTCTTGACCACTGCACACCATCAGTTATACTATGGAATGTCCTATAGTTGACGTAAAAACATGTTTTTGTTAGCTCGATGTATATGATATGTGAGGTCTAGGAGATAATTATGGCTGTATCTAAAATATGAGTAGTTTCTTTTCCTAAAAAATGTCAACAAAAGAAACTGAATTCCTAGCCTGTCAGAGCTGATCAGGACCTAGAGATTGTACTGGGCCACCTTCAAACTATGACAAGCTAGAGAAAAGACATTTGGAGTAGGGATCATAGAGGTTTAAGAGAAAAGTCCAGTGAGAAGGTATCTGAGGTTTCATGTAGGAAGTGCTGGAAGAAATGGCAGGACTATGACAGGTAAGACAGGGAAGAAGGGTATTCTCTGTGGACGAGTAAAAGGTGTGTACCATGAGGATGGAACATAAATGTGTATAATGGAGAATGTGGGGGCAGAGTGTGCCAGGAAGTAGTGTTTCTGAGTTAGTGCATTGTCCACCAATTCACAACCCTTTCTTGAGCGCCTACTGTGTGCTGGGTACTGTTGTTAAGTAATGGGGTTCCAGCAATGGTCAAAGCTTGCAAAACTGCAAAGTGCAATGGAGGCCGCCAGGGTTGCATCTGTCCCGGAGCCTCTTTCCTGCCTCTCCCCCGGGATCTTGCTAACACTGCCAGTGACCTCAGTCCTCTTAGGTTCTGTGATGAAAATGGGTGAGGAGACTCACATCTGATCCCTCTTACTTCCCAGCTACTTCAGCCCAGCTGTGGGTCCTTTGGGCACTAGCTTGTCCCGTTCTCATTTCCTCTCTCCCGTTCTCATTCTTTCTCATCCTCTTCCTCTCCCTCTCCCTCTCCTTTTCCCTCTCCCCTCTCCCTCTCCCTGACTCTGTCTGCATCTCTCTTTCAATGGCTTTGATCATGAATCATCCCCAGCTGGACCTCTTGCCACGTTTCATCCTGCTGCTTGTCATCTTGCTTTCTGACCTTGCAGCCTGACTCCAACACCCAGCCTTCCCTTCTCTTCATATGAGACTCTTGTTACTGTCTTGTTTTGTTATAATCTTGGCTTCCCTTTGCCCATCATTTCAGCCCTTTCTTCTGCTCAGTTGCCTCAAGCTACCTTAGTGAAGTCTGGCAGGGGCTCAGCTCCATAACACCCTCTCTGCCGGGATCGCCCAGGATCTGGGGCTCAACACCTGACATCCACTAACACTGCTATTCCTGGGAGTTCCTTAAAAAGGACTTTAAATCCTGGCCCAGATCAAATGTCCCCCACATCCACTCCACACCGGCAAGCTCTGTTAGCGACACCAATCCAACTGCACCCTGCTTCTGAATTGGGAAAGGAGGAAAAAGGAGCCAGGCAATTCAAAGCCATGCTAAATTAAGATAGATCGCATTCTTGAAACTCGGTTAAGACCCGCTGGGTGTGCAGAGAGGTGTAGCAAACAAGAATCTTGCTTTTAATTTGAGCCAACATGGCTTTCAATTCCAGGGGAAGCAACGATGTGCACAGTGACAAAATTCCTACTGAAAGACATTTGAGAAGCACTTTTCCCCATCAGTAAGCTTAGCCCTGTCCAGGGAGAGTGGTTTCTGAGGCTGCTTCAACTTCATCTAATCCTGGACGACTATAGGGAAGAAACATCATAACCAATGGTGGGAAAAGATCTTCCTGCCCATATCAGCATAGTTACAGCACAGTATGTGAAGGTCATTGGTGAATCTGGTTTCACCTTTAGGCTTTCATCAGTCCTGATGTGACCCTGAACCAATCACTTCTTTGTAACCATTAGTTTCCCCATTGGCCAAGCAGAATCTCTGGAATCTCGGGCTGTGAGGTAACTTGGTAGGAGAATGGACTTCCAGGTTACACTTAGAAACTCAGCTCAGCCACATAGGAACTAGGTGATTTTGCGCAAATACTGAATCTTACTGAGCCTCAGTTTCTTCATCTGCATCATAGGAATAAATGTCTATTCTATTTCTAAGGTCCTTAATAAAGATAGAAGGTCATTATACATGTTAGAGAATCAGGAGAGTGTTTTCTAAATTGTAGGTCATACACAATTGTGAAATAAATTCTGTGACTCGGCACCATCATATAAATTAATGATAAAATACAGAGAACAGAGCACATACTAAGCTAAAAGTTTTGTCTTCTGAAGTTTTTATTTCAGTTACACTTTGCACACAGCACCAGCACTAGGTCATCGTGTAAAGTGTATTTTTTACGATAGATTTCATTTTCAAAAAATGATTAAAAGAAGGTGCCTAGCACATAGCTGGACCTTGCAAATGTTAATTCCCATCCTTTAAGGCTCCTGAGCTCAAAATTTTAATAATTTGTGTTGTAATAGTTTAGCAAAAACTATTGGCCTCCTATTTCTAGTGCCCCTTACTGAGAATGAGGTCTTCCTGAGCACAGCATTGTGGTTCAACCAAAAGAAGATGGACTCTGGGATTTGATGGACTGAATCAAGGTCCCAGGGCTCATATAATGATAATGTGGGAGTGCCTGCTTTATAGAACCTGGCCATCTCTTCTTTGTCTTCTCCTAGCTCCATCTTGTGCAAAGGGTCACTGGGGGACTAATCATCCTTGGGGTAACTGTGGACTATGAGAATAGCAGAAGCATCCCCAGCCACTGAGAACTGCCTTATGGGGCTCCAGGGGCTGGATGAGTTATAAGCTGTGTTCACCCAACCTGCTAGATCTTCTGTTCAGCACCAAGGTAACAGGAGAGGAACCAGGGCAAATATGTATGAGCAGCATGTGAAACTATTATGCCAAGTGAAATTTGGCTTCTCCCAAGCTCCGGATCCTTACCACAAATTTAATTTCAAGTGAAGCAGTCTAAGCAGATGGACCACCACATGGAGATTGCCTTCTTTCCTTTGACTTCAGGCTGGAGGGGAGCATATGGGATAAGAGTGAAGGAGCTCTAGGGGCTCATATTGGTTTGATTTGTGATGCAGGGAGGGTGAGGGGTTACCTATGAAATCCCTGGAACCAGGAGGAGTACAAACCCACAAAATACCTATTCCTAAAAAGATACGCCCAGCTGCCTGTTATGGAGGATACAGTCACAGTGGAGAGCATTAGACTGGCAGTCACAGTGCTGAGATCTGACTTCTGGCTAGGAGGATTGTTTAGGAAACAACAAAGGTTTGTTATGGCTAATGCTTGTGGGATTAAGAAGAGACAAGGCCAGAGGGGAAAGTTGGGTTTCAGCATGGCAGGGGATGATTCTGAACTACTGGCTCAAGGTCAGCCAATCTTCTTAAAATAATGAAGGATCATAGAAATATTTTAAGCAGGGAAAGAGGCAAGAATGACAAATATCTTCCCTGATTCAGGTGAGGACAACATATAGGGGAACTTACTCTTGAGAAGACTGGAATTGCCTTTAATTTTGTCTTGTACAAACTTCATAGATAGGCTATGGTTCTAGCTGGAAACTATCTTCGTGATACATTTACCCCAAACAATTAGCCATGAACATGACTAACTGAAAATCTCAGTTTCAACCTCTGCTAAATTTGGACTTTAAGGATCCTTCAGAGGTTGCCTACGAATCATTCTTTGTTTACAAAGAATTTGCTTGTATATAATTCCTGTCCATTTGTCTTGGTAAATTTGACTCAATCTTGGTTTCCTGGAAACAGGGCTTGAGGCAGGCATATGTGCTGATGCCTTATTGGGGAGGTATCATCTCAGAGATGTGAGGGAAGGAAGATGAAAAACAAAGAACAGTGATGTGCTATCATGTGGCCAGTGCTTCATAACTACTGCAGATGTCGGGCCTGACCTCTGTGTCATGCCTTCCTGCTCAGGAGGTTCCCAGCAGGCTGTTCAATGATCAGATCTCCAGAGGAGTCCATAGGAAGAAGACAGGACAAGCAGTTAATGGGCCTTAAGCAGCAGAACTCAATGGGCCCAAGAAAGAGCGAATGGCCACAGTGACAGGTAACTCATTTAGCTCAAGACCTTGCCAATGGTGACCCCAGAGAACCTGGAGAGGTGCATATGCTCTAATTAATACCCTGTTAGTGACTTCTTTCTTCCTCTTTGTTTCCTTTGCCCCACCCTCCTCCCCCTTTCTGTATTTCTTTTAATTCACAAACTCTGTCAAAAAGTACAGGAACACTTATTATTTATTACACTTCTACAGTAAACCAGATAGTCTGCACGCATTGTTTTATTTTTACAGAGCTTCTAATTCCCATTTTATGGATGATGAAATTGAGGACTCAGAAGCCTAAGTAACTTGCCAGCCAGAAAGTCCCAGAGGTGATACTTGGTTTAAGACCATCTAAATCCAAAGCTCTTACCTCTGGCCATATTGCCTGATAGAGATAAGAAAAAGTGAATGACTACCAATACATCTGCAGGGTAAAAAGGTGCCTACACACCAAACAAGCCCCTTCAAAAAACACTGAGTGACCCACACTTAAGTATGACTCTGGAGCCCACATGACTGGGATCAAATCCCAACTCTTCTACTAGTACGTTGCCTCTTGTTATATATAGTAGGTCTCTTCATTTCTCCATGCTTCTGTTTCCTTATCCGTGAAATGAGGATAGTTCTGGTATCCACTTTACAGGGTAGTTGTAAGAATTAAGTGAGTTAGGGCTGTGGATTTAGCTCAGTGGATCCACCACCTGCCTCGCAAGGACCCAAGTTCAATCCCTGGTATCAAAAAAAAAAAAATTAGATGAGTTAAGAGAGTTAAAGTACTTAAATAGTGCTATCACAGAGTGCTATGTAAGTGTGTGCTCTTCTTAGTATTAATTGCACAACACTTCATGATTCACAAAGCATTTTCACATTTTATTCAACACTAGCAACAACCTCTGAGATAGCTACCGGTCTCTCCATTGTTTAGAAATGCTTTTGTATCACACAGCTGGAGTGCAGCAGAGCTAGAATTCAACCCCAGGGAATCTGACTCTACCCTCTTGCACTGCTGCTCCTCTCTTCCCCTGGCAGCTGGTCAGCCATGCTCTTAACTCCCAAGATGGGTCCCAGGTACCAAGCAGGGCCAAGTGTGAAAGGGCTCCAGCAAGCCTGATTTTCTTCGGGCCAGTTTCTCGGAGTCTGCTGTGTGAGATAAAGCCTTCTCCTGGAAGAAATCCTTCCCTTCAACTGAATAGCCAAAGCTTTTATGTTCTAAACACTGAAGAGGAACTTTCTTTCCACCCCTACTCTGCAGCCTGGCTCCTGAATGAGTTTGCTGTGCTTAGTTTTGTAGTACCTTAACTACAAAATAAATTGCTTTCCCAAGTGCACCTCCAAGAAGGAAATAAGAGTAGGGAATAAGCTAGGTTCAAAGCATGGTATAAACAAGGGAAACTGTTTGCAATTCCAGCTGCCTGTAAAGGTGGAAGAAGGAGGAGAGAAGAGCCATCTTGGGTGAGAAGTGGGCTGTGAAAATGCAGAAGGCAGCCCTTCGAGTAGGAACCAAATGGGCTAAGGTAGAAAAGTTAGATAGCAATTAGAAGCAAGGCACCTCTAGGCATCTCTCACTTGGCAGCAAAAGGAGAGAAAATGCTTACACCCAAAGGATTTAGCTTTCTTTCTACCTGTATCCACTGCCTTCAATCATTTACTCCCTGAGCACTAGAATTAGGATGGCTAAAAGATGGCTTTCATTTGGAGAAAATCTTATGTCATATTTTTCCCCAGCTAGATTTTAAAAGGCTTTCAAGAACCTACCCTGGCAGCTTGGCCATTTTTATTCACATTCAGGAAGATTATTATAGCTTACAGCACCCTTAATACCTGACTTTCCATAAATCACTGCATCAGCTCCTCAGTGGAGGACACCTGAGCCCACACCCTCATTCTGACCCCTGGCATGGAACCCGTGTTAAGGCATACTGAAGGCCCAGTGAGTCACTAGAAAGACTCACAGAGTACAGCACGGTCAGGTTATGGCTAAGACGTATCACTACAAAGGGATACAAAGCAAACCAGCCAAGAGAAAAACTACTATGTGGGGCAGAGTTTGAAGGAAGACAAGCACAAGTTTCCAAGAGACTCTTTCTGCAGAGCTGTGCGTAATGTATAATTCCTCCAATGAGGAGATCTGAAGACACCTGCACACCAAAGCTGTCTGCCAGGGAAGCTGGAGAAAAACCCAGACCCAAGTTTTTGATGAAGGGCTGGTCACATAGACACCCTCTGCCTACTGGGTACCAAATCATACACTCTCAGAAAGAAACCAGGTGTTTAACATAAACTCATCACTTGTACAAACAATCTAGGCATGGTGAGCCATTCTGATCACTTGGAGAATAGGAAATTGTTTACCAACCAAATTCCCAGACTCAAGATTGCTCTGGGGCAATCTCTAAAGATGTGGTCTCAGACCTGCTAAGGGAGCTCTTTTCTGCCTGTTGCTCTGGATTTCCTGTTTGATTAGCAGAACACCTAATGTATATTTCTTAGAGAAGCTTTGTAGGTTTTTCTTTATTCATTGTCCATGCCGAAACTCTTAGAAAGTGATTATAATCTTCATCTAGGAGAAACTGCCTGATAAAGAAAATTCATTGCTTATTCTGGAAATGAAAATAAAGAGCAACTGAAATGATGGTTCTTATTTAGGGGAACAAACAAACAATGTCCGAACAAACCTCAAAGTAGGACAGTGCTCCCAGGTGTCTAGGAGAATAGACAAATCATGGATTGTAGGGTGGGCATGTTGAAAGCTCAGTGGATGGTGGTGTGCTGCATATAGGCAGCAATTCCAGCTAGCCAGTTTGGTAGAGACACAGGGCTGTAGGAAGCCTGACATGGCACCAGATGGTCTCTGTCTTGGGGCTTGTGGCATAAAGAAGGCAGTAGACTTCCCTCTAGGCAGCCACCCTGCAGTGACATGTCAGTGCTGGGAATCACCCTATGTGGCCAGCAACAACTAAGAGACAGCTGGAATGGGACTACACAACCACATCAACCAGAATGGCCTCTCTTCCCCTGCCAATTCCAGGATAGGCTTTTCAGGAGTTTCACAGAAAAGAGTTAGCTTGAAGGTTGTGGGGCCTGGATGCCTGGATGCTAGGGAGAAACCCCGAGTGTCTTCTGGTCAGATATGGGAAAAGTCCCTGACAACTTGCTACCCTAAATTCCCCTGCTATGGTCAAGTAGCACCAAAATCCCTGTGAATGCCATCTGGCCACCTGTAGGCAGTTGAATGAAGGTGAGTTTACTGACATTTTTGCAGCAAGGAAGAAGACATGCTATGACAGCCATCGTGTGTCTCAGCAGAGGGTGTGGGAAAAGAGCAAACACGTGACCCTGTGCCAGTGATGTAGGTTCATAAAATGGAGCTTATGCCTGGGCTGGACACTGTGAGGGAATAAGACTGTTCTGTGCCCAGGTATCATAATCTTATGGAGAAAGCAGAAAGGATGATGTGAGGTTCAAGTGCTGACCAGGAGAGAGGTGGCTGTCACATTAGGCAGGATGAGGAGGGGGATATTTGGTCATTTTGTTGTTGAACAATGTTCTTGGCTTTGTGTGAAATGTTCTTGACTTTGTGTGACGTGACTCCAAAATGGCCTTGTCTTTTCCTTGATCCATGATGGTCATAGAGATGTCTGAAGCTGGAATGTGAAATTGTTTCCTTTAAGTGGAGGATACCACAGCCTAGCTGTAAGTGACAGGTGGGCTCCTGTCTCTCACTGCTTCTCCCTTTATACACAAAAGACAGAGGCTAGAACAGCAGTACTAAGTATGACAGCTTGTTTCCAGGTCCTTCCATGACTTGCACCCATGACAAGTTCCAGTGTCCAGGGAAATAATAATGAAAATGATAGCTGCAATTGTGTTAACTAATTATGTGCTATTATGTAATTATGTAACAATATGCACTCCATAAATAATCAGTATAGGTCAGGTATATAATATATTCTTCAAATACACAATCTCATTTCATCCTCTTAATAACTGCAAGATTGGTATTTTCTTTTTTGGCAGATAAGGAACAGGGGCTCAGACAAGTTAAGTTTTTCCCTAGGGCCACTTACCTAATGAGTAAGAGAGGCTGAATTTAAACATAAACATCTGCCTGACTCCAAAGCCCACACTTGTCCCACTCGCCCAAGCCTCTTTCACACAGGGTGACCTCGGGCACCGAAAGAGGTGTTTTGCCATTCTGCTTGCAAAGACTAGTATTACTCCAAGGAGCACACCAGTTCTGCAGCAGAGCTGAAGTGTGTTCACAGACACAAGGCACCTAATATCACAGCTTGTAGTAGGCCAGGACTGGGCTGGGTAAGGCGGTCCCTAGAAGCTGCTGACATAGCTCCAGAGAGTACCCCATTGCTGGCATCCCCAGAGGGCAAGCGTAGGCTTGGATCTAGTTTCTGTTTCTGCACAGCTGGCCAATTAATATGAATAAAAGCAGCCCAATATTGATTAACTGTGTATTCTACACAAAGATATCTTAATGAAGCTTAGTACCTACAGCTCCAAAGCTGGTATGAAGTCTTTTAAGCAGAAGTGATGGTTAACTTTGTCATCTCCTCTGAGGTTCAACATTTCTTCATGGGTAGAGGACTCAGAGACCTTTTAAAGTATGCACCTTGGTCAGGGACACTGTTGTTCTTTCAGTGGTCCTCTTTGTATTTAATTTGCTACTTTTCTACCAACCCATGGAAATCTAGCAAAAGCATGGCTTACTCATCTATCTCAATGTAATCAGAGTCCATAAATATGCACAGATTAGAATGTGTTCTCAGTGTATCCTGATGAATGATCATGCCCATGTTTCAGCATAGTAGATAGAGAAAGGTCCAGGAAGAAAAATAAGACATAGAACTATATTTACTGGATGTTATATTTCCTTCTGAGGGATGCTGAACAAAAGTACCAGAAAATAAGCACCTTTTAACAACAAAAACCTATTGTTCCACAGGTCTGGAGGGGAGTCTGCAATCACAGGGCATGTCCCCTCTGAAATCTAGAGAAATGCTTCCTGCCTATTCCTGGCTCCTGATGGGTTGCTGGCAATCCCTGGCATTCCTTGGCTTGTGGCTGCATTACTGTAATCTCTGTCTTCTTTATCTCATGGCATTTACTTGTCTTCCTGTAAGGACATTACTCAGGTTGGATTAGGGTTCATCCCACTGCAGTATGACCTCATTTTAATGAATTACATCAGTAACAACCTTATTTCCCAATAAGTTCCATTCTGAGGTACTGGGCATTAGGACTTCAACATACCTTTTTGGGAGAAACTTGTAGTTCCACAACAGATTCCCACTGAGTTTCAGGTACTGTGAGCTCGCGTCACTTCAAAGCCCAGGCTCCCTAGTGAATTTGTACCTTTTCAGCACCCTGTGAATCTATCAGAAGAAACCATTTTAGACTGAATGGTGTATAAGTTTCCACTCTCTGTGCCAAGACTCCAGAGTCCCTGAGATCCCCTCTTCCTCTTCCTCTTCCCGCATACCCTTGGTCCCCTCCTCCTCTCTAGTTTACACCACATTACGCCGAGCAAAACAGGTCAGGGCACCAGATACTAGGCCCCTTCTAAGGCAGCCCTCCCTGGAGCATGTAGCCACAGAGAAGATTCCTGCCTGAAACTACGTGTGTGGCCATGTGGCCTGGCCCTTAGCTGCAGAGCTGTGAGTGTGTGTGCATGCCTGTGTGCTGACCTAAGGGAGTATGTGCGATTGCAAGTGTAAAGTACAGGTTCATGTGTCACGGTGTGAGTGTGTGACATCAGTACATTGTGTTAGTGTGGGAACAAGTGTGTGGCAGTGCGTGAGGGACACAGAATAAGCCAATGAGTCTGAACGTACACAAAGGTGTGTGTGTCTCTGCATGAGTGTGTGTGTGTGTGTGTGTGTATGTGTGTGTATGGGGGGGTGTCCTGCCAAATACCTGCTGTATTTTAGAATAAGCCAGAAAGCAAAGGTGAAGTCTTTCCTCCCATTAAAATAGTAAAGAAGAGCTTTGAGGGCTGGTTTTCTTTTAGTTAAAAAAAAAATAGCAGCATCATCCAGTTAATGGTTGTTAATTAGGTACAAGTCCCAAAGAAGCTGCTGCTTCACAGCACCAATAAATCACTCATTAACTGTCCATGGCTGCTGCCTCCAAGTCAGCTGTGCTGTAGCTCCAGCACTTCGAAACCAGGCCAGGGCCCGCCTCTGCAGATCTGTCAGCAAGGAGAAGGTACTTGTCTCCCAGTCCCTGCACTCCCAAGAGCATCCCTAGGCCACCTCTAGGAAGGACAAGAAAGGGCTGAGCCTCTGCTCCTTGATTCATGGACTTAAATCCAACTTCCTCTGCGTCAAGTGCCACCCAGGCTCAGCCCCTCCTGATCTCACTGACCTCCCCTCTCAGCATGCTGCCTCTTCAGGCTCTAGCTCCACTGTGCTCCTCAGAGGGCCCTGACCAAGCTATTTCTTAGCTCTGTGGGCATCTGTGCCTCCCACAGCCATGAGCACGCTGTGTGCTCAGGAAACAAATTCTTGCTTGCCCAGCCCCAGCCAACTTTCTCACCAGAACAAAGCCACCAGTGATGTTTTAAAGTATTGATTTTAGCTAAAACAACCATAGACTTAGGAAATAGGGGAAGGGAATAACCACCTAATGGGTATGGAGTTTCACTTTGGGGTGTTAGAAATGCTTTAGAATTAGGGAGTGGTGAAAGTGGCATAATATTAAAAACGTACTCAGAATGACTGAATTGTACATGTTAAAATGGTTTCAGGTGGATAAGGTAGAATAAGATAGGAACCAAGTCTATCTGCTGCAGGCCAATCCTGTCTTAGCACCGTGGGCTTCCTCCGGCTTTCAGGACCAGCCCTCACAAACTGATTTAAACCTAACACAGCTGGAGATAGCAGAAACCTGTGGTTGGCAAACAGACCCAAGGACAATTCCTCTTATTTCAGAGCCCTGCTATCCTTCCCCACGAGGCTCCCTGACTTCTGGCCTCACTCCATTCTCAGGACTGCCCACCCAGTGATCTTTGTTACACAATTAGCTAGATGCTACTTGCCTGACCCTGACATTTTTAGTGGTGCCTTGACCTTCTTGCTAAGAAGCAATTTCAGGAACCTGTGACTTTGGAATGATTTTTTTTTTTAATGTTTGTGTTTGTTTTTGAAAATATGTAGAATCAATCCCAAATTCACAGCCTCTGTTTTTGTGCTTAACTGAGATATGTTGAAAGATTTGAGGTTACTCAATATTTCCCCCACAGGTACAAAAGAATGGCCCTAATAAGACCATTCTTTAATCCGGTATGAGGGACAGTGGTGAGAGAGCTGCTTGAAGCCTTTGAATCGGGAGCTCAAGATCCCCATCGTTAGGACCAAACCCAAATGTAACCCTGGAAGCATGAAGTTCAAAGTCGGTAGGATTATGGCTTGGTAAAAAACTGGCAAATGGATGGCGTAGTGCCCTTCCTCCAGACACTGAGGCATGGCCCAGGGTCTGCGTGTCGTTTTGGTTGGCACCAGTACAGAGATACTTTAGAGACAGGAATCAAAAGAATAGCACTGTGTGAAAAAGAGAGCTATTAGGGTGGCTACTTACTGTGGACCCCAGATCTCGTGTGCATGCTTATTTGCTCATTCATCCCTTCTTGCATGCATTCATCTCTTCAATATTTATGGAAACCCTGATATTTCTTAGCTCTGTTTTAGTGAATGTAGACAGAAATAAGATTTATGTTAGTCAGTCTATATTAATAGCTAAACTGACAACAAATGGTTAATGTGTGTTGCAGTAATCGAAAATCCTAATGTATCAGTGACTCAGCAGAGTTTCTTATGTTGTTTACCCATCATGCTTTGCTCCACATAATTTCTCCAGGTTGCAGGGTGATAGAGGCTCCACCATCTTGTAGCTACACTATCTAAAACAACTGGCCTTTTTTTTTTTTTTTTTTTTTTTTTTTTTTAAATCAGTCTATATTAATAGCTAAACTGACAACAAATGGTTAATGTGTGTTGCAGTAATCGAAAATCCTAATGTATCAGTGACTCAGCAGAGTTTCTTATGTTGTTTACCCATCATGCTTTGCTCCACATAATTTCTCCAGGTTGCAGGGTGATAGAGGCTCCACCATCTTGTAGCTACACTATCTAAAACAACTGGCCTTTTTTTTTTTTTTTTTTTTTTGCTGCTTTGAAAGCCCATATGTCTGACTTAGTCATGTGGCCCCACCTAAACGAAGTGAGCAGGGAAACACATTCTTCCTACGTGCCCAGAACAAGCAACAAACAGCTCTGGTAAGCGCCTGAAGTCTCTCCACAGCCTGGAAGACCAAGGCCTGGCACAGCTGTGGGGTGCCTCCAGCTAGACAGAAGAGAAGAGACAAGTAAACAAACCTAACAGTGGAAGGAATTGCTAATGGTGGAGTGTGTTTGAGAGGAGGAAGAGGAGTTGTGACATCATGTCTGAGAGGAGGGAGGCACTCACTGGAATCTTCCAGGGCTGGGGTGCAGCAGCCTAGGCAGGAACTGTCACAGGATGCGCATGTAGGCAAATATAATGTGATTGCTGGGGCAGGAGGTGGGGGAGGTGAGCATGAATAAGCAGTACCTTGAACACTGTAGGTAGGTGTTTGAACTTGATTCTGCAGAGGAGGAAAAGCCATTGGAAAGCTTTCTAGGAAGGAGCTTAATCCACATGTATATTTTAGAAAGATCACCATGGGTTTCACTCTTTGAAAGACACTTAGACACAGATGGTTGTCTCTGGAATCAGAGTAGTGATTATGCAGATAGATTTAAGAGGTACTTAGATGGAGGAACCAATAAAATTAGTAACTAAATAGATGCAGGCAGAGGGAGAGAAAGTGGACACTGGTTGTGGCCTGGTTTTTGACTGGGCACATTTCTTAGTCTATTCAGACTGCTATGACCAAAATACTTAGATTGAATAAATTAACAACAAAAAATTGTTGATCATAGTTCTGAAGACTAGGAAGTCCAAGATCAAGAAGCCAGTGGATGTGTTGTCTGTTGAGAGCCCACTTTGTGTTGCCTAGATGGCGCCTTCTTTCTATGTCCTCACATAATTGAAGGGGATGAACAAGCTCCTTGAGCATCCTTTATAAGAGCACTAATCCCGTTCATAGGGCAGAGCCCTCATGACATGATCACCTCCTGAAGGTGGCCTTGCCTCTTAACACAGCCACACTGGGTATTAGGTTTCAACACGTGAACTTCTTGGAGGGAACACAAATAGAGCTGTTGGCAGGGCAACCATGTAGACACATCGAGGAAATGCTGGAGTCCAATTGCAGAGGAAGATAATAAGCTGAGTGTCTGATGTTGTTGAGTCTGAAGTACCCATGGACCTTCCAAATCAAAGTGTCCACGAAGCACTTGAATATTAGGGCCTGAAGCTTAGAAGAGAGTCTACCTTTCCTGAGTGTCTAAGAAATGAAAGGCGTGGGGGTCACTGCAAATTACACATTTGTGGGTTCCAGAATTGCTATTTAAATTGTGTCTCAATCTGGGTGTTTTCAAAATGGAATCATTTCCTGCTATTCTTTGTCCTAAGACCTAGGCCCTTGGGCTGAGGGAAGTCACAGCTGTCTGGGTTTCGGCAGCCTCCATCATGGTGGGACCAAGCTACTGTCATTAAAGACCCCAGTCCCCTAGAGGACTGGCACACGCTTATCTGGTCTAGCACCCAAGTGCCCAGTAAATGGTTCGTAAACAAATGAATGAATTTAACTGCAAACTATTCAAAACTGTCAGGTCCCTTGTGAGAACATAAATAGTACTTCCATTTTCCAGAAGCTTTTAATAAATTATAACTCAGCAAATTAAAATAAACATTTGTTTTAACTTCTACCAACCAAGTCTCTGGAGGGTTGGACACCTTTTCATCTTCAAAGTGCTTTCAAAACAAGAACTGGCTTCCCCCAAAGGCCCTCTGTGGATGTTGTAGACTGTAAACAGATACAGAACTGTATTAACATTCAGTAGCAAAGATGCCTCAGGCCAGTTTTTAAAAGTACCTTCTCCAGAAAGAAAAATAAATTGTTTCTTTGAGTTTTTGAGTGCCTTCAATGTGCCGAGAGTTGTGCCAAGGACTTTTAGTACCTGCGACGTTATTCTCTCAGTGGTCTTGTGAGGTAGATTCCCTTTTTCTGCTTTAGAGATAAGAAATCTGAGTCTCAGAGGAATAAAGTGACTTGCCCAAGGGCACAGAACGGGAGCCAGCGAACCAAGAACCTCTCATAAGTTCTTTTAATGCCTCAATTACTGACTTTTGCTTTGCTTCACTGTTTCTCGACATTTGGTCCGCACATTACCTGTGTTAGGCACATGCAGGGGACAAATCCTGGGCCCTATCCCAGACTTTTTGAATGAAACTCTGGAAAGAGAAGCTTGGGGATCAACATTTTAAATAATTCTCCCAGGTACTTCTTATGTTTGCTGAGATTTGATCACTTGTGCTTTATACCCACAGTGGTTTTCTAAAACAGGTTTTTGTCTAACACAATGAGAATAAAACAAAGGGGAAATAACTAGGCCCTGAACATCTCTTGCCTCGTGCTGAGCTTGGCAGCTTTGACTTTCCTCAGACCGCAAGGCAGCATCTTCCTCCCCCTGTCTCTGCGGGCTGTGCCGGCCAAGATGGAAAGCTTCCTCTGTTCCCTGCTTTGCATGGCAAGCTTGGGTGGATGTTTTCTCTCCACTCCATATGGATTTTGCAATTAACTCACTAGAAAAGTAAATCACAGGGTGCCTGGAATAATAAGTGCAGTGAACACCAGGCCTCAGCCAAGTAGACTGGGACCAGATCCAGAGCATGACTAAGATTGCTGGGCTGGCGCTGGAAGAAGGCTGGTAGTCCTGGAGGCTGGACAAAGGCCACAAGGCAGGAGGAGGAGAGGGGCCCAGTGGGCGAGGCTGAGCACCTCTTCTGTGTGTACAGCATATGCCCGGTGTTTTGCATTCTTTCTTCCATCGATTCCACATAGCTCTTTTATGTCATACTTTCATTTTCATCTTACAGAAAAAAATACTGAAGCTTAGATAGGCAATGTTGCTCCCCAAGGTTTAGCTTCTCCAAGAAGCCTTTGCTACAATCTCATGGGCTCCCATCACCTTTTCTTTGTCTGGGCAGCTGGAGTGGAGAGAGCCCTTTACAAGCCTAGTGATGGCTGGGGGACAGTAGTAGCTGATCTTGGGAAACCTGGTTCCTCCTCAGTGACTGTTTGTATGTGGCAGGGCTAATGTGAATTCTGAGCCTGAAGTCTTACGTAGGAGCACTTCAGACCATGCCTGGTGCTTAGTAAGCATTTGAAATGTCAGTTCCCTTTTTGCCTCCCTTTGGTTTCCTAAACCATCTCCTGTGGTGGATCCAGTGATATTTCCTAGGGATGCACCCAAGCCAGCATAAGGAGCTTGGAGCTAGCTGGAGGTGCTAGATGAGTCTAGTGGTGGGTCTCTCCCTGACCAGCCCTCAGACAGGTCAGGAACACTGCATATAGTGTCACCTTGTTTCTTAGTGGACCAGTCCTGGCTTCCAGTTTTTTTGTTTTGTTTTGTTTTTTTCTATTTTCTTTCTCTTTTTTTTTTTTCTGGCTTCCAGTTTTAATTTGTGAAAGACAGAATCTGACTGGCTGAGCCTGTCTTTAGCTGTTGAGCCATTCCATAGGGAGGGGAGCAAAGTCAAATCGTGTGTGCGACTGCCTGGGCCATCTCTCCAGTCTGTGCCAAGATGCCTGCTTCTGAAGGGGCTCTGGGCAGACATGCACAAAAAGGTCTCTTTGTCCCCGCCTTCCCCCTCTGTATTTTACATTCCTGAAGACGGATTTTCCCTTGTCTGTCTCCCCATCCCTTCACAGAGCCTACACTCAGAAAGACTTATTGGGTTAGGAGAAGGAAAATAGGACCATGGAGGTTCTGTCTGCTCTAGCTGGCTGTGGACTTTTCACAGCAAGCGTTAACAGAAGGTGTGGGTACCTTTGTCTCCTGCTGAGGGGCCCTGCCCACATGCTAGTCAGTGAGCTTCTTATCCATGAAGCTTTGATAGGGGCCATGTGCAGGTCCTGACGCACTCACTTCCTCGACTATATCATAGCCACCACCATGCTCAGTTTACAAGTCAGAAGTGGCTTGCTTGACTTTTTCCTCTCTCTCTCTCTCTACTTGTGTTTTTTCTCTCTCTCTCTCTCTCTCTCTCTCTCTCTCTCTCTCCCACCCCCGTGTGTGTGTGTGTGTGTGTGTGTGTGTATGAGTGTGTGTTTGTATCTAATGCCTAAAAAATCAAACGGTCCTCTTTCTGCTTCTCACAGCTTCCTGAGCATAAAGATTCTAAAATCTGAGCCAGGCTGACAATTCTGTTGATGCATGAGAAACCGGGGCTGGGATCCTTCCTCTCTTTGGTGGCATTCACTCAGCCGTCACCACAGCTCACAAACTCTTTTGGAGCTGTAAGGCAGATAAATGGGCATGACTCAGCAGGCACCAAGAACAGACACGGGAACAAACACACTTCAGCTCTTGATGGGGTTTGATTGTTGTTTCTTTGCCTAGCTAGGAAACTAGGCAAAGGGGACAGGACTTAAAAGCAGATGCAACTATTTCACCTAGAAGGGTGGGATTCCATTTCCTCCACAACTATACCGCCCCATAGAACTTTCTGAAATGATGGAAATGCTCTGTGTCTGCACAGCCCTATAAGAGCCATTTGCCACATGTGGTTATTGAGCCCATGAAATATAGCTAATGCGACTGAGGGAATGGATTTTTAATTTTAATTCATTTACTCTTACAGTGAAATTCAAATAACCATACTGTTATGGCTGGTGGCATCCATATTGAATTGTGCAGCTCTGAAATCAAGGAATTTTCTTTCAGCTTTAATTGCCCATATTCACACTGCCTAGTAGTGGTGGCTACCATGGGTTCAAGAATCTTTAAATGAATACATGGGCCAACACTTTTGTGACTGAGCGGAGATAGTATCATGCGCAAGGTAAACACACAGAATTTAAAGCTGGTCAGACCTGAATGTAAAACCTGACTCCGACATTTATTTATCTCTGTAACTGTAAGAATGTTACTAGCATCTTTAAGACTTTCTCCTATACTAAATGACTACAAACCCTACCTGCTTCGTAAAGGAATAAATGAGCTGGTGTATACAGAGTGATTAACACAGCACCTGGCTTATTAGAAGCCCCTTGATAAGTAGCAGTTTCACAGAAAAGACCAATAAAGTAACAACCAGCCCTCCTGACAAGCAGACTGTGACATTCCCAACAGACAAAAACAATAGCTCTAAACAAAACCATTCTAGGCACCTATTCAGGGCATAAGCATGGTCAGTCTATAACCAGGTGAGGGACCCATACATCCAACTCTTTAACGACAGCTGCCCTCCTCTGCCAAACTGCTATTTCTTCACCCATTGCAAAATCCAGATCCACTTTATTCCTCCCTCCTAAATAAAAATACCTATTCATTCATTTTTTTCCTACACCTTGAAAATATCCAGTCCAGAGCTAGCTTTCCTCATAGATTTTCTTTTGGATCATCCAACATGAACCCAAACTGTTGAGTTCTCCCATCCATACCCCCACACACCCCTGAGGTCCCAGGCAGGTGCATTCTCCCTTACTCCAGCCAGCTCAATGCACTCAACATTTTTATGACTACAGCTGTGACCCTGGTGGTCTTTGGGCAGTCAGTGGACACCATCAGAAGTTTCAAGCCTCACCTGGTGATGAACACAGAGCAGTCATGAGAAAGCCCCTCCACACACACACACACAAGTTCTTTGTCTTCTTGTGAGGCTCAGCTTCCTGCTACCTCAATGCCGAGTTAAAACCCTACACAATTATAAGCCTGCTATTTCCTAAACTAGGGTTGAACACATACAGTTAATGGCCAGAGCTCTTGGCCTTCTCTGCTTCCCGCAGAGAGGGTTCTGCATTATTGCAGCTAGAAAAGCACCAGAGAGAGCCCAGATGCTTGTGTGTTTGACTTAGCTTCCTCCTTAGCTTACAAAAAGACACAGAGGTCACCTCAGACTTTTATCAATGGCTAAAAAAGAAAGACAGGTAAGTGCAATGTGTCCAGGAAGGAATCAGAAAGCCACATTTACTCTGGTACTTTTGTACATGAAGAAGGTGAGAAACAGCAGCTTGAATGGTTAAAGATGATATAGGAACACCAGCCCCAAATGAGCAGTTTGTGGGGACAGGGTGTGGGGCTTGAAGAAATTGTAGATGTGATGAGTTTGAAGCACCCAAAAGGCATTTAATTTGAGAGAATGACTACACACCTGGAGCTTTAGAAGTGATCATTTTCATCCATCTAACTGTTAGGTCACTCGTTCAGGGGAAATGTTTGCAGCACCTACTCTAGGATGACTCTGTGCCAGACGCTGTGACACAATAATGCTGGAACAGGTGTCCCAGGTCACAGTGGCCCCTGACTTCCTTTGTCCAGTGGGATGTCCTGGCCATCTTTCCCTATTATACTTTCCTTGGAGATATTCCATAAAAGGAAATCATCTTAGAATTGAGGCTGACTGTCAAATCGTGGTTCTGAAACAATAGCCCTTCACTTTATTCCACTGTACCAGTCATTTTCTAGTACTGTCAGTATTTTTTAATTAATTTTATTGGTACATTTTAGGTATATGATACAATGACATTCATCATTGAGAATTGTACCTTTACATAATATATCTTGATTCTTATTTTTCCCCATTCCCATGCACTCCCTTCAACCCCTCCACCCCTATTTACAAAGACTGTTTCCATTTTTCATTTTCTCATATTAATTCCATTTCCTCCTTTCTTTTCCCCTATCCCTCCTGCTTCCCCTTCCCCTTTGCACCTTTTCTTCCTATTTCACCTTACCTATTATATATTTTGATCTTAATTTACACTTTCAGTTTCTCACACCAAAGAAACTATTCAGTATT